GCCGCAAAACAGCTGATCTGTGCTGTTTTGACAGCTTTGACGCAGTCCCGGGCAGGAGGCTGAGAAGAAAGCCTCCTTCGGCGAAGCCTCGCCACCGGAAGTCCAGGCATCTGAATCTTGATCACGTGGCCATGTGGATGCCGCAACTACCATAAGTGTGAAAAACAGAAAGTCACTTTTTTCAGTGCCGTTCTAACTTCCAGTGCTCACATTAAATGAACTGTTGTAAGTCGAGGACTACCCATACTGGATTCTGTGAATATTTCAAACGATTCAGTGGTTTTCTCCCATCCCGTCTATATATTTTCTGCTTCCCCAGAGGAGCAGATTTCCCTCTAACCTGTCACCTTATCCATAACACAATGATATAATCCTGATTTTGTCCATTGGAAAATGTGTGCTGTGTGTTGTGGTATTTCAGAAGGCAACCTGAGGATGTGGCCTTAATTAAACATTCTGTCAACGCTGCTAACATTGGATGTTCTTGCTTTGACAACATATGAAGATGCAGCCTTTTTCTTTTTTATGCTTTACTCTTAGAATTAGATGATGCTGGGGGAGGAGGAGGAATGTGGTGGGATGTTATGTCTATTGTTAGACATAACAATATTGTACTAGTGTGTGAATTAGAGCTTGAAATAAGAGATGATAAGAATTGGCGGGTTGCAGAACAGGAGGGAAAGTCTGCATTTCAAACTAATTGGAGAATGTGATTTATGACTGTTAATTGGAGGAGGGAATTGTGCTTTGATACTATGTGCTCAGGGGAGGGGAATCCAGTTTTTGGCTTCAACTATGTTAGTGCCGAAGCTATGCTACTCCCATAAAGATACTTTAAGGTAAACAATGCCTCAAAGTTCTTTGAAGAGTTTCATCTGTCGGAACCATGACACATTATCTTGCTGTTGAAGCCACTCGATGGAATCTGAAACAGCTTCTCCAACTTTTACCATTTATTCCAGGAATCTACACCCAGCTATGGGCCAGATACAGGAAAACCAGGCAGAATGGGGAGCAAACAGCAGGATGGCCCTAGTTCAGCAGACTGGCAGGTAAGGCTGTTTCTAGCGCATCAGGTGTGGGCTCCGTTCCCTTCCCCAACTCTGCCCTCCACTCTGGGCAGTGCCCTCAACTTGACCGCCTTTGTATTCCCTTCCAGCAAAGTCCATCTACCTCCAGCAGAGGGAATTTGGGAGCATCTCAGCATCTGGATGGACTCAAGGCCCCCCCCCCAACCATTCCTCCATTGAGCCCCCAGAGAGCGAGAAAGGGAAGCTTGGCAGAGGAGCAGATTCTGTTAGACCAGGTGAATGAAATTGAGAAATAAGTACGTATCTGGGTCACAATTTGAGCATGGATCCACTTCCCTGTGTGATTCAGTTGAAAAGCTATCCACTTAGCCTTCACCCAGCAAACAACTTAACTGGCATAAATTGTGCTGCCCCCAGTGCCATCCCCAGTTAGAGATGCCATCAAATGGTGGTGTCCTTCTTTGTGGCATGCAGGGAAGGGCAAGAGAAGGAATGGTGGGTTCCCTTAACTTTGTTCCTCCCCTCCTTCTGCCTATGACTGTGCAGCTCCCCAACACTTATCAGTGTTTGAGAAACAGCTTGGGGAAGATCCTCTCATCCAGCCCCTAGCAGTTATTAAACCTAGGTTAAATTTTCTTTTGAAAGAACAGTTAATCCAAGTTCAGGCTCCTTTTGAAATTGTGCTTGAATCTAGACTTTAAAATAGTCGAATTAACAGGAAGAAAAGGTTGTCTGGTGCGGTGGGCATCTCCCTTTTCCCATGTTGCTCAACTCCTCTGTTGTCCAGGGACAACTCCAGAGAATGCACAATCACATCAACCCATCCTATCAGGTCCAGCAGAAAGAGTATTTTGTGGGCCCCATCCATGAAGGAATGTCACCTGGTGGGACCCAGGAGGAGAGCCTTTTCTGTTTTGTTACCTGTCCTATGGAACATCATTTCCTCTGAGGTCAGACTAGCCTGATTTTGTTGGCCTTCTGGAAGGACCTGAAGACGTGGCTTTGCCACCTAGTCTGGAGATTTGGTGGCACTGATGTAGAGCCTGCAAAGTGGCTGTAGATTGATTGATTCTGTACTACAAAACCCTTGTCAACTCTTAGCAACAACATTCAGTCCTTGACTTTTGACTGCCTGCTTAGTGACCATTCAAAGTTGCAATAGATTCCAAAAAAGATACTTATGACCTGGATTCAAAGTTTGAACGGCGGTCAAAAAAGGTCATTAAATGAGACGTCATTACATGATGACCCACTTAATGACCCGTGTGACTTACAACATAATTCCAGGCTCGGTTATGGTTGAAAGTCAAAGACTACCTGATTTTCTCCACAATTATCTTTCCCTAACCTGGCCTTTCAGCTCTTCTAATAATTCACTCATGGCTTCTGTAACTAAGTCTATCCATCTTGCTGCTGGTCATCCTTGTCTTCTCTTTCCCAGCATCAGACAGCCTTCTCCAGAGAACTAGGTCTTTGCATAAGGTGTCCCAAGTAGGATAATTTGGGCTGGGTCCTTTGTGCCTTAAGCGAGAACTCTAGAGTGGCTATATTGTTAGTGACATTGTGCTGTTCTGCTAATTATATTTTTGTAAAATACATTACTTCCCATCCTGCCCCAGGTCCCTATATATCTCTCCTTCAAAGTATGGTGTTTTACCCTAAAAAGTTTTGATTTTTCTAAAAAGCTTGATTTTTCGTACTTGTGTCAGATCTCTGTATTAAACAGTGGTATTAAGCATTGTTTTGCATTCCTTTGTATGTGAATGTATGCTCTTTTGCCTATATTGGAACATGCAGTTGGAGAATCAAGGTTGTTACTGGTATATATGGATGATGTCTGATTTTGTTTAAATTATTTGTTCCCTGCTTTTCCATCCGTCTGCTTCCGCAAGTCTGCTGAGAAAACGAAATAAAGACAAAAGCTCCAGTAAGAATCAATCAGGACAAATCACCCAAGCCAAAAACAACAACAACACCCCCCACCCCCAGTAAAGTAGCATGAACTGCAGTAGAGGTAGAACTAGTATTTTTTTATTATTAATAGTAATAATGAAGATGATAATGCAATTTTAAAAAATGGAAAGGAAATTTCCATTGGAAACAACAAATGACTGGATTTCAAGCACTGTGCAGCAGAAACTCCTAACTGTGGGTAGTCTTTGACTTACAACCATTCATTTAACAATGGTTCAAAGTTACGATGGGCTCAGGAAAAGTTACTTACAACCTGTATTCGCACTTATCGGTACAACCACCTCATCACCCCTGAAGCTTGGTGACTGAATGCGGTCACTTAGCAACCAGCTCCCATTTGCAGTGGTCACCACGATCGCAATTTGTGACCCTTTTTGCCATTTTCCAGAAAAAAATGCCCATTGAGGAAACTGGATTTACTGTAATGACTGTGTGATTTGCTTAATGATTGCTGTAAAACTGATCATGAAATCAGGTCTGACTTGACTTATACTGTAACTCCAATGACTTAACGACAGAAATTCTGGTTCCAATTGTGATCATAAGTCGAGGATTACCTGCACATCACTTTAGACTAGAATAAAGGCATCTCCCTAAATAGTGCATTAAAATATTATAATCTTAATGGAATTAAGGCTTGAGAAGATGGCCAGGTCATCTCCTTCCTTCCTTAAGCTTGGTCACTCAACAGCTAGATACTGGTGAAGCGAGCACAGCAGTGCCTGCATTTTCTGCATCGCATGAGAAAAGCACATCTTCCTTCCCCTGTCCTTACCACTTTGTACAAAGGGACGATTGAGAGCATCCTGCCATATGGCATTACTGTCTGGTTTGGAAGCATCACTGCTTCAGACAGAAAGGCGGTGCAGAGAGTGGTGAGGATGGCAGAAAAGATCATTGGCAGTTCCCTCCCTTCCATCCAGGACATAGCACATAAGCATTGCTTGAGCAGGGTCCACAAGATTGTCTGGGACACTACACATCCTCTTCACAACCTGTTTTCCTTGTTACCTTCTGGGAGGAGGCTTCGTGGTATCCGAAGCAGAACATCCAGATTCAGTCACAGTTTTGTTCCATACAGTATTAACTTATGAACTCTCAAGCTTCCTCTTTCTGCTATGTATTCAAGATGGACAGTGATTAATATTTATATGTATTATATGTAAGAGTGTAGGTATATACATATGTTGTATATAGCATGTTTATATGTGTGTTATGTATGTGTACACTTTTGAGAGCAGGCAACAGAATTTCATTTTTAATGTGTGCCAGTGTGCCCACTGTAAAAAATGACAATAAATCTTACCTTACCTTACCCTACCCTACCCTACCCTACCCTACCCTACCCTACCCTACCCTATCCTATCCTATCCTATCCTATCCTATCCTATCCTATCCTATCCTATCCCTTTTATCATTTCCTGCTTCATTTCTTAAATTACCCATAATGAATAGAATAAAAAATTTATTGTCACTTTAAATGTACACTAATCAGCATACATTAAAATGAAATTTAGTTGCATTCAGCTCTCAAAAAATACCATTTTGCCATATGCCCACATACACACATATATGACACAGAGAAACATCACAGTCTAGTTTGAATGTATACATATATATGGCAAAAAAAAAAGAATCCTGCGAATTTACAAGACAGATGGCATAAGGAACAAAGCTGTTACAGAATCCAGTACTTCTGCTATAAATACTTTGAAACTCCTCCCAGAGGGGAGCAATAGAAACAATTGCTTTTTCCCTTCCCATATCAGGCTGCTTTCCCATTGGTCAGAAAATGTTCTCTTGGGAGAAGCAGGACACATCTGTTACCTGCTCTAACCTTGAAGGATGGATGCTTCTCTGTCCTGCAACTAACAGGATGCTATTTATTGATTGCTTACTCAAATGGTTTCTTCTGGTGTGGAAGCAGAAACTAGGGAGAGACAGGAAATTTAAGCTTGACGTGTTTTTTTTCCTTGCTTCCCTTCCACTCCATAGACCATGAAGGCTGCAACCATAGAAGTGAAGTTCCTGAACACAGCATTGTCAAGGTATGACAGATGGCAAAATTATTGCCGCCTTCCTCATTTGGTTATTTATTTATTTATTTGTTTGTTAGGTTCTACCCTGCCTTTCCTCCAAGAGCTCAAAAGTGTCATCCATGGCATTCCCTTTTGTTTTTCCAAAGAACAGTCCTATGAGGTAGGTTGGGCTGAGACACAGTGAGTAGCCCCCAGGCAGGATGAGAATGGAGTTGAATTGAATCTTCATGGTGCTAAATGAGTGGTTTTTCAATCTCATCAACTCAGCCAGTGGCCAGCAGCTGAGGAATTCTGGCAGCTGAAGTCCACACAAAATTTTGAACTTGAGAAACACTGATCTAGACCAACTCCTTAACCATAATGCCATCCTGGCTCTCCTCTAGTGTTTTTCAGATGTGACCTGGGGAATTCTGGGAACTGTAGTTCCAAGACATCTGGTTGGGGAAGATTGATGAGGGATGGCAGTTGAAGGGATTTAAACAATTGTTTTATTCATTCCAGCTTTTCATGAACATTCAATGGGTCTTAGAACTACAACTAAAAAAACCTTATTTTAACAGTTTCTGGAATGTATGAGGAAAGGGATGAAGTCCTAATGCAGGCATGGGGAACCATGGCCCTTTTTTGACTTGTGGACTTCAACTCCCAGAATTCTTGAGCCAGCTATGAGCCATGCTGGCTCAGGAATTCTGGGAGTTGAAGTCCACAAGTCATAAAAGGGCCATGGTTCCCCACCCATTGTAATGGATGGATGGCAGGCAAGTCATAAATGATTGCAAAGGCCATACATGGTGGTAAAAGAATGCCAGCGTGGCAAAGCAGTAGCTTAGGAATCGGCCACACATTTCCTTGTGTCCTGCCTGGAAGCCGTGAGGGATGTGCCTTATAACATGGTATCACTGGAGTGGGCAGGGCCAATGTTTTTTGGAGGTGCAATATAGGGTTCCTTAAGAAGTGGGAAATTGGCCTGATTTGGGAGCTGGCTTAGGATTTTAAAGGAATGCCACAGATGTCTTCAGGTTCAGCCCAGCCATTAATTTCATCCCTTTATGGAAAAAGGGGGTTCAAAATTCAATCCTGCCCAATGCAGGGGAGGTAAAGAGGGTGCTGAGGTAGCTTCCCATTCTCTTGGGGTGCGGCTTATTCATTTTTGAAGTTGTAGTATTAAAGGACTGAAAGGGAAAAAAAAACCTTTGCAGGTAAAAGTGTGGCACCTGGGCCGTGACTTCTCCCAACCCTCCCTTCTTCCCTCATGTCCAGGTGGCCTCTTCCGAAACGACGGTCCCTCGGCTGTCCCGCATGAGCGCCCAGGAACAGCTGGACAGGATGCAGCGGCACCAGGAGGCCAAACGGAAATCTGAGGCTGCCCAGCCCCCTCCCCTGGGCCACTGGCAAGACTCTCTCAAGCATGGGTCTAGCCGGGTGGGTGTGAAGCCTTGTGGGGAGGAGGAGGAGGAGGAGCGTAGGAGAACAGCAGGGGTCTTGGGCGGACGCTTTAGATGCTAAGTGGGAGAGAGGTTCTGTGGCCCAGAGAGGAGCCAAAATACATTGGGCAGTTGGGTGGGAGAAGGATAGATTTCCAGACTCTCTTTCTGTGGTGGAAACCAGCCATTTGGGTTTGTTAAGAGGAAGCCGGAAGAAGGATCAGATAAAGACAGCCGGGTCTTCTGAGGCAGGAGTGAAAGGGGCTGCTTCATGCTTGGGTGGGGGGAGGGGGCTGAGAAAAGGAAAGGTTCCCACCAAGACGTGTTATGATTTTGCACATGTATCCAGTGAAACCGAAGGATTGTCTTCCAGGCTTTGTAAATCAAAACCAGAAGGAAAGGATGGTGTGCTTAATGTGTAGCTTAGATGGTAAACAAGGGGTGGCTTTGTCAAGAGCTGGGCCTAGATCTGTGTTGCTCATGCCACGTTCCCCTCCCATCGTTTAATCTCTCCTTCAGCCCCTCCCCAATGCCCCCCCTGAGTCATCACCCAAGGAGGGAGTGCAAATTGGGGAAGTCAAGCCTCCTCGGTGCCCCCCAACCCCTGAGTGAGAGCGACAGCGAGTAATCCAGCTCTCCCATGCACTGGCGACAGAGGCTTCACAGCGGGGAAAACTCGTCACAGGTACTAGGATAGGCCACTGCATTTCTTTATTTGTCCCAAGCATGTATGTCCTGCCTTTTGATCCCCCTCCCCTTTTTTTCCCAAATAGCTCCATGTTAGGGTGGTGATGCACCTAAGTGGGTAAAATGCTGACTCAGATCCCCGATAGGCAAGGGTATCGTCCCTGGAGGTTACATTTTGGGTTTTTTTTTTTTTTGCAAAACCTGATCCAAAATGTACAACTCACAGCCTCCTTAATTCTGCATCGCCTCTTGGGTTGTCTCGTTCTGCCTTTTATTTGCCTGAAAGCAAATGCCTTGTTCAAGTAATACAGGTAGTCCTCGACTTACGACCGTAATTGAGCCCATTTCTGTTGCTAAGCGAAAGATTTGTTAAGTGAGTTTTGCCCCATTTTACGACCTTTTTTGCCACAGTTGTTAAGTGAATCACTGCAATTATTAAGTTCATAACATGGTTAAGTGAATCAGGTTTCCCTATTGACTTCATTTATAAAAAGGTCACAAAAGGGGGATCGCGTGACCCCAGACCACTGCAGCCGTCATAAATATGAATCCGTTGCCAAGCGTCTGAATTTGGATCACGTGGCCATGGGGATGCTGCAACGGTCGTAAGTGTGAAAAATGGTCATAAGTCACTTTTTTCAGTGCCGTTGTAACTTTGAACGGCCACTAAATGAGTTGTTGTAAGTCAAGGACCACCTGTATACAAATATTGTTCTACAACCTCTGGACACTGGTATGCCTCATTCACACGTTTTCCAAGGCGTTGTCAGAACCTCATCATTGTCTTAGATACAGCCCAGGAGCCTTAAGCTTCACATGATTTTTCTTTGTGTTTTATTTGAATATAATCTTATATTTTTTCTTTTCCTGCCAGTCACTTCCCAACAGGTGCAGATAGTCCTCAGTTAACAACGGTAATTGGGACTGGGAATTCCATCACTAAGTGATACAGTTATAAAGCATGACATCATGTGATTTATGACAGCAGTTCCAATTGCGGTCATAATTCACCTAAGGTGAATCCTGTAATTATTAGGTGTGATGTCACCTCATCCCCATTGATAACCTCCCATTGGCTTCCCCCATTGACTTTGTCAGTGAAGATCACAAATGCCCATCACATGGGGACACTGCAACTATAATAATTGCAAGCCAGTTCCCAAATGTTTGGATCACGCTCATACGACAGTGGCCCTGTTACCTCAGCACAACTTGAGGACCACCCAGAAGGGCCGTCATAATTTTGAATGCTGGCTGAATGAATGGTTGCTAACTGTGGACTATTTATTTATACATCAAACTTCTTAACCATTCATCTCCCTTATAGACAGGCTCTATGTATGAAGACTAAAGACTCTGTGTACCTGGACTTTTTCTGTGGTCAATCTGTTTTCCTATCCAAAATCCTGTACACAATACTGACTTTGTTAGCTGCAGAAGACATAATAAAACTATTTCACTTATGTGTTCTCGACCAAAAAAGCAAAGGCTCCCTTGAGTCAGCTTCTGGTGATTACTTGGACAGATCTGTGATGTTTTCCTGGCAACGATACAGAAGTAATTCATCGCTGCCTTCTTGGGAAAGTTTTTTTTTTCAGCTATCCAGTCTGGCCTGTAGCTCTTTCAATATACAGATTGTCCTCTGTTGCAATCATCAGCAAAATACCCTCCCTGGGTACTTTTCCACTGCTATAGGTTTCATCTCTAACATAAGTTTCGTTTCCTATGAAATGCCTGTAGGCTTTGTTCTTTGTCCATACAATGAGCTCATCCCCTCTGTTAAGTTTCGTTTCTTAAATTGGGACTGATTTCCCAGAAAAGACCTGCATGAAAACCCTAAGTTTCTGATACGTAAGCTAAAGAATGATTTAGTGTCTCCTGGTTTCTTGTTTCTCGCTCCATATATGGTAATGAAGACCCTTTCCCCCTCCTCTTTTTTGTACATCCCCTAATGACGTTTATAGACCAATAAAAGAGAGGCGCAGAGGCTTTTCGGAGCTCTCGCATGCCATCTCACCTGAAGAAACATGTTGTCCGTGTGTTTCTCTATCTAAGCGAGGTCCGTTGATGGTGTTCAACGTACATTACCAGTCCATTCCTCTGGAGAGGAATAAGTTCATCCTGCAGGCGCAGGATCCCGAGAGTAAAATCTCACAACTGGTGACCCCGACGTGATTCAAGCGTGTTCTTCGTCTGTGGAAGCGCTCCCTGGCACCCTTCTCACGCACCTGGCAAAGGCTCGATCATCGTGAGTTATGGGATCTTCACTTTCTCAAGTTCTATCCAAGCACGTGGAAGAACTTTATAAGTTAGTCAGGAAGGCAACTTGTTTGCAAAAAGTTAACGGAACAACTGTCTATCCTCTATCTAAAAAAGAAATTGTCTCTTTTCTTCTCTATCTTCACAAACACTGTCCTGCCTATCCTGAAGGCGG